CTCCAGAATTCAGTGGCTTAAAACAATTATGTATTTTCTATGAGTCTGTGGGGTGGTCTCACCTGGGCTCACTGATGCAGTTGGATTCAGGTGGAGGCTCAGCCATACTGGAAGCTCTATGATGATCACGTGTCCAGCAGCTGGTGCTGGCTGTCAGCTGCGGCACCTCAGTTCTCCTGTGTGTGGTCTCCCATGATCTAGTAAGCCAGCCTGGCTTCCTTATGTGGCAATCTCAGGCCGGTATTCTCAGAGGGGAAAACATAAGCTTGAAGGGCTCTCTAGAGCCTGAGGTCCGGAACTTGTGCAACACTCATTTCCACCATATTCTATCGGTCACAGCAAGTCACACAGCAGCCCAGATTCAAAGGAATGGAGAAACACACTCCACTTTTGGCCGGGAAGAGAGGCAAAATCACATTACAAAAGAGCATGCACAATGGAATGGAAGGAATTTGTGGCCTTTAAAAGATTTACCACACTTTAGGACACCACCAACATTTATCAAGGTTATTCATTCCCGAAACCATGAACATGGCCATGACCAATTCTTAAAGATATGCTTTGTTCACTGCCCCTCTTCTGGATGCGCATCAAATACAAGTGGGAAATTTACATCAGATGAAATCCAAATGGCCAAAGAACAAGTGAAAATATGTGTAATTTTACTACCAATAGATAAGAGCAAGTGAAAACAACTGAGGTACCATTTCCCATCCATCGTATAGTCAACAATTAATAGCTAGCGTTGACATACAAACAATAGAATTAGCTCAACAATATAAAATTGTTCATATTCAAATATTTTTGACCTATGAAAATAGGGATTTCATATGACCAACCCAGTTTTTATAACATTGTCTATAATAGTAAAAAACCAACAATAAATAAGAAAATAGATAGTATATGATATAATCATAGCAATGTAATATTTTACAGCAGTAAAACTGGATTTATATTTATCAACTTGGACCAGTTCACAAAAACTATGTTAAATTTAAAAAGGGAATGTAGAAAACATGTATACTATGCTATTTGTATAAATGTAAATAATACAAAATACTATATATTAGATATGGCTACATATGCATGGCTATGAACATTTTAAATAAGGAATTGGGAGGATATTCACCAACTCCTGAGAACAGTTGCCTGTAGGGCAGCAGGAATGGGACTTTGGGTGGTGATTAAAGGGGTCTTTAGCGTTATCCATCTTATTTATTATATTTTTTAAATGAAGAACATTTGACTAAATATTAACATTTTAAATTATGGGTTTGGGGATTATATGGATATTTTTCATGCGAATCTTTTGTGCAGAAAGAAAAAAACTAGAAAATAAAAAAAAAAAGGATCAATTTAATACAAGGAAGGTAAAGCAAGTCATCTGTAGCCAGTGACCACCTTGACAAGAATACAACATGGCAAAAACACTTAAACAGGAATTCCTCATTTGGGACTGTGAACCCCTGGCGTTTTTATATCACATGGCTCGTTTTCTGAGAAGGTTCACAGCTCTTCTCTGAGCTTCAACAAGAATCCTAAAAAAGATGAAAAACAACTCATCTAAAGCAAATGCCTTGTTTATAGTAGACATTCGCTAAACTATAGGGCTCTTCACATTGGGTGGATCCTCAGTCACACTGCACGTCCCCGACACCCGGATAATGTTCCATCCTCCTTCTTCTCTATGTAAATGCCATCTCCTTTGGCAGTGCACTCTGTGGCCTGTGCAAGCTTACACTGATATCACATGATTAAATTGAAAACATGTATCTTTCAGTATCAAACATTTCTTAAAATTACCACTGATTTTATTTGCTTTCAGTCACAATATTTAATGTTTAAAAATTAACGACATTAAAGGAAGGTGTGACATTTTTGTTTATCAAAAATAACACTGATTGAAAAACTGATCAATATGAATACAAGACGTAGAGATCAGGAGAAGCCAGAAAGGAAGATGAAATGGATCTGTTTAAGAGAGGTGTTTTCTCTGTGAACCAACTCAGAGCCATCCAGCTATTTCCCTTTATACATCAAAGTAGAAAGTGAAGAAACAGCCTTTGGGCTCAAAACTATAGAAAACCCCTCTTTTATTAGAGTGTATAACAACTCTGATTTCTTTTTGAATTTTCCTTCAGTATAATCACCAATATATACCATCTTTGGCTGTTACAACAAAATTCCCTAATACGTCAGCACTACAATAAGCCATCCACGGTGGCAGTCTTCAAGAGGGCTCCCAGTGGTCCCTCCCTTCTGGTATTTAGGCTCTGTGTAGCCCTCCCCTCAGAGCCCTCAGCTAAGTCAGGGATGGCTGTGTAAACAACAGGATTTGGTGTAAATTATGGTATGTGACTTCCGAACCTAGATCATAAAAGACATTGTGGCTCTTGCCTTGCTCTCAAATCACTTGATCTGAGGGAAGCAACATTATAGTCAAGCAGATGAATGGAGACGTCCACGTGGCAAGAAGCTGAGACCTCTTGCCAAAAGCCAGCAAGTAGCAGAGGCCTCGTGCTTATAGCCACGTGGGTGAGCCATCTTGGAATGCAATCCTCCAGCATCGGTCAAGCCTTCAGATGACCGAAGCTTCTACTGACATCTTATCTGCAACCACAGGAGAGATCCTGAGATAGAACCACTCAGCTAAACTGCTCCTAAACTTCCAAAACATAGAAATTGTGAGATGGGATAATGCGTTATGCAGCAATAGATAACTAATGCGTATTATACTAAGTGAAAGAAGTCAGACACAAAAGGCCACATATTATATTGATTCCATTTATATGAAGTGTCCACAACAGGTAAATCCAAGGAGAGAGAAAGTAGATTGGTGGTTGTCAGGGTCTGGGAGGAGAGAGGAATGGGGAGCAAATACTAAAGGGTATAAGATTTCTTTTTTTGGATGAAGATGTTCTAGAACTGTATGGGCGTACAACCTGGTGAATATACTAAAAACCACTAAACTGTACACTTCAAAAGGGTAAATTGTAGGGTATGTGAATTGTGAATTATATCTGAAATGCTTATTTTTTTACATTACAGATTTTGATATCTGGAAGCAGAGTGCAGCTATAACACAAATCTAAAATATGGGAGAGAAGAGTCGATGGAAGTTGGAAGAACTTTGAAGAGAATGTTAGAAAGCTGGAGGAGCCCTGAAGCAACTGTCCAGAAGTATGGCGGCCTTGGAGGGGGCTGCAGGCATGGACTTAAAGGCGAGTAAGGAAAATCTTACTGGAAATTGGAGGAAAGGGGATTCTTGTTATGTAGCAGTAGAATGTTCAGCAACACTGTTGCCTGCAGAAATACAGAAAGTAGAAAATGTGCTTAATGACCTGGGTGATGGAGCTGAGATTTCCAGAAGGTGGTGAACATGCCTCCTGGCTTCTTCTTGCTGGTTGTATTAAAATGCATGGGAGAGACAAGCTAAAGGAAGAACTATAAAAAAAAAAAGCAATCAGTAATTGATGGTTTGGAAAATCCCCAGATTCTCCAGATGGCAAATTATGCTAAAATTAAGAATGGTTTTAGGCAAAGATAAAATTTAGGGCACTTCCAGGAAAATATGGTCTAAAGATAATGTTGAGGGTGTGACTGTAAAAGCCTTTAAGACTGCAGAAAAAATCCAAGATGGTGCCTCAGAGAGTTATTTAAACACAGGGCATATTAGAAATTTAGTGTTTTCTCTAGTTGTCTCAGCATAACAGCAAGTTAGAGAGGGGCTTATTTAGAATAGATTTTGGAGTATGTTTTTTGTGTCCTAGCATGAACTCCAGTGAGATTTGTAGGACGTTCACAAAGTTTTAAAAAATTTTACTGGTAGGACCTTACCTAAATTCAACAGAAAGGAGAATATTAAAGAGGACTTTGGACTCCAAAACTTATAAGCAGAAAGCAGGCTGAGAAAAACACTCAGCTGCAAATACATGCTACATTTCATGAAAAATGAGTTACTGAGAGGGCACTACCACGGGCTCATAGAACATAGCCAAAAATCAAGAATTATTACCAAGCCTTGAGTACTAATCAAGGAGCTGCCAGCCCGTGTCTGGACTTCAAAGTTGCTATGACTCATACATGTCTTCATTTCCCCACTTTTTGAAGAGGAGGGTCTATAGCGATAATCCTATATATATTATGCCATTGTATTTTGCACATGTGGAGAGCAAATAAGTTGTCTTTAGTTCACAGATCTTCAGATCAAGAGGAACTGTACTTGAGCTGCTATACTTAAGGAACCTACCCCAAGGTGGCTCATCCACATCTAGACCAGATATAGATGATAGATACTGGGCTTTGAGTTGATGCTATGATGCAAAGAATTTTCTGGAGGATTTGGGAGGAGGTAAGTGTATTTTGCAGGTGGGAAGGACATGAATAATGGGGGGCCAGAGATCAGACTGGTAGCCAACTTCCAATAAGCCTCCCCCCACTTTCTGATATTCATACCCTGTATAATGCCTCCAAGATTATATCAGGGTTGGTCTGTCTGACCTAGGGAATATGGCAGACGTGATGGTATGTGACTTCTGAGGTCAGGTTATAAAAGGCATTGACTTTTTCTTGGCTCCTTCACAGTCTCTCTCTCAATCCAATCGCTTTTGAGTCACTTGCGCTGGGTGAAGCCAGTCACCATGACACTAAGATACTCAACCAGCCCTATAGGAAGGCCCACATGAGAAACTGAGGCTTCCTGGCATCCACAAGCCCAGAGAACTGATTTCTTGCCACCAGTCATGCAAGGGAGCGAGCCATTCTGGAAGCATTTCGATGACTACACGTCTGCAACCTCACTAGAGACTTGGTGCCAGACCCTCCCAGCCACGCTGCTCCTGAATTCCTGAGCCTCAGAGACCAGGAGGTGGTACGTTTGTTCTTTTAAGCCACTGATATACTATTTCTCATAAGCTTGTTTCTGCTGTCATATTAAGCCAACAATATTGGGAGATTCCTGTTGAATGAGATTTACTCTGTATCATACATTCAAAAATACATATTTTATCAGAATACTTTTATTTCAAGAGTTAACACTTTTTTCAAAAAAGTAAAAACAATATAGTTACTTCCCTGAGTATAAAGAACTAATCCTATAGTAAAGGACAATTACAAAATTAAGCAGTTAGAGGTATATAATTCTCTGCTTTCAATTACACTCTATTACAAATTTATTCTTAAAAATCTCGTGTATTTTGGGGACTTTAGTTAGTATTTGAAAACAAAAATAAAAACAGCTCATTTTGTACCTGTGATGTTAAGGTATGTCCAATCTGTCTTTATCAAATTCCAGAGCAATCTTTAAAGCAGTGCTATTGAGGCCAACCGATTGCATGTTACACATGATAGAAACAACTATTCCTCTTGGGGGAATCTTGTACTTTATAGCTTCTGCGTCCAGTTCTTCAGGAAGGACCAGCAGGACGCTGCTGGCACCCACTGCGCCTCCAGTATGTGAGGCATAATGCCGTTGTTTCCTACAGGAACCATGTATTTGCTTCTTTTCCACAACACCCCATGCCATCGCATATTTACCCTCTTTATCCCAAGACATCTCTGTGTTCGGTATCGGTGTCCACATCATAGCCATTGTTTCTGGTTTGAGATATCCAGGTAGAAGATTTTCACTTGAGTTCTTACACAGCCCGACCTGGTAACCATACAGCATTGCATTCCCAAATTTCAGAAGGTCACCCACTGTAGACAGAAATCCACCACCAGCCCATTTATAGGAATTATCCACGTAAGGCGTGTTGACAAGACGTCTCTTTTTATTGTAAACATAAAATCTAAAATGAAATAAGAATGGTCATTAAAATTTTAAGTCTATTATTGATTTTACATATGAAAATGAATAGGAAAATGTGTACATAGACAGATTGTATTTCAATGCAGTGATCATACATTCTCAGAAGCTAAAATTCTCAGTAGGACTCAGATTCTAATCAAACATATAACTGAGTAGTTAAGCATAGAAAGTGGATTGTTTTTTCTATGGCAGTGCTTGCCCATGTTGAGTATCAAAGTTTTGCCTGCAAAATGTACTAATACTACACATGATTTTATTTTCCCTCTGCATATGCAAAACACTCATCATTTGGTAGATAGTCCTAGTCCTTGGGCTTAAGGAATTATGTGCCACATGTGAATTTATGACTAAAAGTGTACATATTGGGATGTTTAGGAATAAGGTTAATATTTGTAAGGAGACTCCATCTCCTGTCTAGAAACACCATGGAAATACACATACAATGACTGATATTGTAATTCCTTGGTGTTGTGGGAGAAGCTGGAGTTACAAACCTCAGTTTGAATCCCAACACTCACCCTTATTACCTATACTTACTTTGATTTACAAACACTTACACTTAAGTTCTTCCTATGTGCCAGGCATTGTTCTAAGAACTATATAAATATGAACTAATTTCTTCTTGTGATAATGTTCGGAGGTAAGTACTAGTATAATTCCTATATTACAGATGAGAAAACTGAGGCACAAAGCATATAAATAACTTGTCCAAGAGCACAGAGCTTGTGCATTGGCAGAGGTGGACTGCGACCCAGGCAGCCTGTTGCCTTTCTGCTTCAGCATCCTGATTCACAAAGTGATGAGAAAACATCTACTTCTCAGAGTTAGGAATATATATATAAATCACTTTGCATATTTCTGGTAGGTACTTAATAAATGAGAACTGTTATTTACTCATACATTCAACAATTATTGAATGGAGCACTTAACATGTGCCAGGCACCATTTGGATGCTGAAATTAAGTGTTAAAAGAGATAAAGAGCCTGACCTCATGAGGTTTCTATTCCAGTAGGAGGAGACCATACCATAAGTGTTAGGTAAATGAAGTAAAATCACAAAAGAATTAAACAAAAAATGAAACTTGGCTCATGAGGATCCTTTCTCTTTCAAGAGTCACATGGTGCTCTTAGATTTTCAGTTGCTGTCTCACCACTTACCCCCTTCATTCTGCCTTGGTTATTCACAAGTACTGTCAGATCTGAATTTCACCATCACTTTAAACTCTTTTATACAGAAGGTGTCTCAAACTCAAGAACTTCTTCCTGTGACTATTAGACTATGACTAATCCTTCCAACTGTCCAACTGAACCTGCTCTCCACCCTCACTGTGACCTCCACCTATTCCCCTTAACTCTTCCCACATTTCCCAGGTCTTTAAGTTCCTTCTGATTTCACATGCTTTTCTGTTCTAGCCTGAAGTAGACCATTAGCCATTTCAACTATTTCAGCCGCGGTCCCACTGGCAATTTGGGTTCCACACTCTTCTGCCTTAAACCACACTGAACCACTAACCTGAGTAACTCTTGCTACCCCTTCCCTTACTTCCTCATCTATCAAGCAAGGCTGCAGAAATTCATAGAACGAAGCTGACTGAGACAGACTCATACTCTTTGCTAAAGGTCTTTACTGCTTTGTCAGATCTTTTCATTCTTTTCCTGGTTATTCTCTGGTATACCCTTCATAATAGCTATTCCCAATCTTTTCCCCCCTCAGTCCTCTCCCCTTCTTCAGGCCCCGTCAGAGAGTAACTTACATCCTTTGTTTTACTGCAAAAATTGAGACAATTCAAAGTAAGCCAGGAACTCTCATCTTTCTCCTAAAATGTATTTGATATCACCATTCATTCTTTTCTTCCTTCTTTCCAGTCATTTAAGGAAACTTCCCATTGTTTTTAAGACTATTTCTACTACCTGCATATTTGACTGCATCATTTTGCCTCTACAACCTCGTTCCACATTCCTATATTATTCTTCTCCTTTCAGCCCATTCTCTAAGCGGAAGTCAAAGTTATGTCTCCCTATAATCTACCCATTTGAAACCCTCCAATGGTACCCACTGTAATGAGAATAAAACCCTAATCTCTTACTGTAGCCTACAACACAGTCAAAGGTCTTCAACAAAGGCAGTACCAATTCCCTAAGGAAAACTTTTGGAAGCATTTTTTTAGTTGTCACAATTATTAGAGGGCTCTTACTGACATTTAGTGTATAGGGTCCCAAGCCTTCTAAATGTCCCTGGCAAAGTCCCACACAATGGTGCAATCTCCCATGTTCTGTAAGATCTTCAACTACCCTATGAGATACTCACATAAAAAATCTGTTTATAACTAGCTGAGCCTAGAACCCAATCCATTTCATATCTAAACACCAAGTACTTTTTGCACATTTTTATTCTACAATGAATTTTTCTTAAATGTAACCATTGTAAAAAGCTGAAGAAAGACCACACTTTATTGTTCAAAACTTTAGCCAGTGTTGGCCACCAAGGGCATGAGCTAAAGCACCAATACAATACACCTGTATTGGTCTGCATTTATAGTTGTCACATTTACAATGCTTTTATGTATTAAGTTGCATTTGATTTTATGTTTTCTAATGTTGCCATGAATTAATATATTGAAATATCTGTTATTACAAATTATATCCTTATTGTTTCTTCTTTATATTTTAGTTAGCATATTAAGTGTAGGATAAATGATGTATGATTTCTATTTCCGGATATTAAAGGTGTTAGAAATATTTGTTAAATGAAGGGGCAGTGGGTCTAATGGCACTGAAGCCACCATCTAGGATGATTTAGCCTTTGCTTAACCTCTTTCACCCTTGTCACTTACATCTTCCCTTGCTTATTTCATGCTAGACTTATTTCTGTATTTGTAACAAGGCAAGCTAACTCTCCTTATTATTCATGTTTCATCTCAACTGACATGGCCTAAAAACAATGTACTTTAAATACCCCACATCCTCTCCGGGTTACTCTATATCCCATTGCCCTGTTTTATTTTGTTCATGTCAATGTATGAGATTCTTAATTTACATGTTTGTCTCTTCCCAAAGAATATAAATTTCATAAGAGTAGGAACCTTACCTACACTGTTTATTGATGATTGTTACCTAGAATAGTACTTGCCTTCTATTAAGTTCTCATTAAATATGTGAATACATGAAAGTATCATTTATTGCCAGATATTTAATGGAGACACCTTGCAAGGCACTGGAGAGAGAAGTTAAACCGTAACTGTTGGCTTTCCAGGGACTAACAGTCTTGTTGGACAATTCTTAAACTTCAAAGCATCAGATGAAATCACCTGGCAATTTTAAAATGCAGACTCTGCTTCAGTAGGGCTGGGGAGGGACCCAAAATTCTGACAAACTCCAAGGTGATATCAATACTGCTGGTCCCCGGATCACAGTTTGAGTAACAATAGGTTGTGGGATGATTAGCAAGATGGCTATGAGGAATTCTGACCACTAGTGAAAACAAGCCTTGTTGAAATGGCCAGGCTGGGGAGGAAAGTAGTTCAGTTTGGTTGAAGAGAGAGCTTGAGGGGGTAAGTGGAAAGGTGATGTTGGAAGAGTACAGATGGGACAGGGGACAGGTCACAAAGGACTTCTGTGCATGCTAGGAGCTTTGAATCCCTCATTTTAGTTTACAGATGCTTTAGTTTCCTATATGCTGAGGGGAGAAAAATCTCTCTTCACCTTTGTTACAGCTTCCAGTTACCTGTCCTTTTTCTCTCATTTTCCATGAAACTAAGAAAACAGTTGACACCTGCTGTTTCCATGCACTTACCCTCTCTATTCATTCAAACTTAAAATCTGGCTTTTGTTCCCTTACCACTACTAAACAGTTCTCTGGTGGGTCTCAAGGATCTTCCAATTCTCTTTTTACAGTCCTGTTTGCCCACTGTAGTGCTGTTAACCAGCACACTGATGACACCCCCCTTCAGGCCATTCTGCTCTGAGCTCTCCCCTAGCTCCCAATCCTATGATGCCCCACGACTCTCCAACCACCAGTGGTTCGTTTGCCAGGTGTTCTCGTCTACAGAGATAACTACAAATCTGCACCTGTGCCACAACCCCTGTTCCAAATTTACCATCAAGACTCTCTAGCACTAGTTATTCGTAAATTTGGTTTTGGAGAAGGGCACGAAAGTTGTTTATTAGAATCACCTGTAGGCCTCCTCCTTCCCTAAATTGTAACCCCTTTCAAGATTCCCAACTTTGGAGGGACTGTGGGTATATGCAGTTTGAAAAAGGACCCTTCTTTCTTTCTTCAAGATTCTTATATGTTCCTTGAAAGTCCAAGTCATAATACTGGGTGAAGCAGGGGTGGCCACAAGTATGTGCTTTTAAGATGAAAAAGTTCTACAGATAATCTTAATATGCTTTCTTGAGAACCAATAACTTGATACATGGTTTTAATCAATTCTCAAAATAAACATGTCTAAAACTAAATTAACCTCTTCCAAACCTCCTTCTCATATTTCTTTCCATTAAAACCTGGGTTGATTCTCTTGCCCTCAACTCTCACATCCAAGAAGATGTTAAATCTTATTCAACCTCTGCTTTGTGTCTTACCCTTCCTCCCATTCCTATGTCCACTCCCATATTTTAGGTCTTCATTACTTTCTGCCTGAACTCTGATTACACTTTAGTTCCAGCCAATCAAATGTAAAGAAACCACATAATAGAAATATATCTTCTCATTGAGAAATATATTTATTAGAGTAAACTCTAAGTTTGCAAACTAGGAGAGAACTACTAATACATTTTGGCTAATAATAAGCATCGTGTAACTTCTTTTTAATAGTAAAGCATTTCAAACCACCTATATCAAGGCTGGAAATTAGGAATCCTGAACCATTCCTCCTTAAAAATATAAAAATACAGAGATTTCTAGTTACAGATCAATATCTCTGATAAACATAGATATGAAAATCCTTAACAGAATATTAGCAAGATAAATTATTTATTGAA